TGTGAGGGCTATATAGCTCTGGCTTTAGCTCAGTATGAGGACTTTTCTAGCTTGTTAGAGGTTACCTTTATGGTGCAAGAGGGGCTCCAGTTTGTATGATCTCGGCCCGCCAAGAGGGTGTACTTTGGTTTCTTTGTATTTTGTTAGTCACTCCTTGGAGGGGGGTTCATGCTTACTGATGGGGAAACCTTAGCGGTCCTAACTTGTTAGACAAACCTTTGATAGGTTTCATAAAACCCTACCGACATTCCTTGATAGTGGGTTAAGAGGCTCACGACCTCGGGCGAAATGGTAAATCACGACTTCACAGTGAAAGTGTACAACCTCTATAGAGTGTAAAACTGGTATATCAGCCGTGCTCACGGTCACGAGCGGCCTTGGAACATTTACGGAATAGATGATGAACACTAATGATGTGGATGATGAAGATGCTCACTAATGGTTAATTATTTATGCTATTCATTATTCATGTTTACCTAATCATGTGTTTATACGGGCTTGTGATAAACTTGTTGCTACTCCTTGCTAAAATTATGACAATTAAAAGCTAATCGTAGTTAAACCAGTGTCAGCCTTTTGAGCCTCATGAACCCCATGTTATATTTGTTAAGTACGACATGTACTTATGCTTGCTTTATTTTTCACATATTTGTATAAAAATCCTGGATGGGTACCAGATTGCTAGAGTTTGGAGGAATTAGCCTTGTGATCAACCAGTCAGTTGTCCCTGTAGAATTGGAGTCTTCACTCGAAGATCAGAGTTGTCTTTCCACTGTTTGCTACCTAAGGTTATATTCTTTATACTAAGTACGTTATATATTGAGCATTGTCTTTCGATATTACCCTTATTTGTAGCTATATGTGAGATTTGACTTCGTGGGCTCACATATGGTGTGTATCTGGTTTTGTTCTTAAAACCGGGTGCTACATCCGATTATGTAGATAGAACGAGCTCTGCCCTCAATCTTCCTTAGTAATATCCCTTGGGTGTAGATATGATGATGATCTTAGCCATGATTACTAGGTGTAATTGCACTAATTAAATATATGCTTTGACTTGTAATTAAGAATGACTTAGGAATTATTCCTCTAATATTCTACCTGACCATGCTAATGCTATAGAAAGGAGTGCTCTAAGTGATTTATCATTATTATTACTTATTATATACATATCTTATTCTATGCCTTATCCCTTTTATGAGTAGAACATTGGTTATGGTTTATTTCTCCTTTAATAGTATAAGTTATCAATACATATCCATGCTAGACCTTCCCAGTGGTAAAAATATAAATAACGATACCTAGAATACTCTCGGGTAAAATGCTACAATGGTATATTATTTGTACGCGCTTACGGATACTTTTGGTTCATAGATTTATATATATTCTCTTTAGTCACATAATTAATAAAGAACTGCTTAGTGTTATTCTAGTAGTAATACTATGTAGTACCAACAAATATCTCTGCATCAACACTAGGGATGACAACCTAGTAAAGTTAGGGATATAGGTTTATGATAGGTGGCTAAGTACTTCAAATAAGTGACACGTTAAGAAATACCAACACCTGTCAAACTCAAAACCAACGGGGAGAGAAGGGAGGGGAGGCGATGGGAGTATCTGGCACTACTACAGTTGTAGCAACGCCTCCTTTTTTGTAGGGGCAGTTGTACGCTCTACAAATGGTGCCCAAACGAGCCGATCCTACAAATTGATTTGTAGGGGCTGCTGGTCTTTTGAGCCATCCCTACAAATGGCTCGATTTGAGGGGCGGCTCTATATCCATCCACTCTTAAAAATCCGATTTGTAGGGGTGTCTCTATATTGAGCCACACCTACAAATAGACGTAGAATAGTAAAAATTAAGCACTAAAATTCGAATTTTTTCAAACGACTTTGGATGAATAATCAAAATAAAAGTTGTATATCTCGAAAAGTTATATAACTTTTTTGTTTATAACTTTTTCATTTTAAATCATTTAGTGCATCAAAATATTATTGGAAGTTAAAATTTTAAATTGTTGAAGAGCTTTGATTTCTGTTTTTAATCTCTAGCTAAAACTTATAACTAGTCTTTCTCCCTCGTACTAAATTCAAATCTGATGATTTTTTCCTATAATTTTATAAAATTATGTTCTATCAATTTATTGTGTTCTTACAACTATTATTTTGGTCAACTTTTCATGTGACTTTGTTTTATCAATTGAAAATTTGAATTTCAAAAAATGGCAACTTCAAACAATATTTTGAAGTAGTAAATGATTTCAGCAGAAAAAGTCATGAACATAAAAGTTATAGAACTCATCAAGATCTGCAACTTTTATTTTAGCTATTTCTTTATCCGACAAAGTGATAGTAACATTGTTCATAAAATTTATATATCTCTATAATGTTGTTACCACTTTGTCGGATGAACAAATGACCAAAATAAAAGTTGTAGATCTTGATGAGTTCTACAACTTTGTTGTTGATGACTTTTTCAGCTGAAATCATTTACTCTTTCAAAATGTTGTTTCAAGTTGATATTTTTTAAAATTCAAATTTTAAATTGTTCAAACAAAGTCACATGAAAAGATGACCAAAATAAAAGTTGTAGATCTCGAAAAGTTATAAAACTTTGTAGTTGAAAACTTTTTTATTTGAATTCATTTTGTCAAGGAAAACTACGATTGAATTTTCAAAAAATTAAAATTCGAATTTTTCAAACGACCTCGGATAGAGAAACCACAAAAAAGAAAGTTGTAGATCTCGAAAAGTTATGAAACTTTGTAGTTGATAACTTTTTAATTTGAAATCATCTTGTCAAGAAAAACTATGTTTGAATTTCTCAAATTTAAAATTCAAATTTTGTAAACGACCTTGGATGGAGAAAGTACCAAAATGAAAGTTGTAGATCTCGAAAAGTTATGAAACTTTATAGATGACAATATTTTCATTTGAATTCGTTTAGGGCCTCAAACAATCATTTTAAATTTGGTTTAGGATAATATGGGAAACCAAAATCTAATATAAACATAAGTGATTGTGAGGGGCAGTGGTAGAGTATGGTACACATGAGGGGGAGGTCGCAGGTTCGCTTCCTTGAAGCACACAAAAAATGCCATGACTGATTTTGCTATTTTTTGGATCTTGAATCATGATTTCTAAAAATGATTTATAGAGGTGGCTCAATATCCAGCATCCCCTACAAATCTTGAGCTGCCCCTATAAATATGAGCAAAACCGCTCCTACAAATCTATTTAAGCCGCCCCTACTAATCTTGATTGTAGTAGCGTGGAGTGTGGCACAAGCGGTCTACCAGCATGAGACAAGTGCCTGCCAAGTTGGAGGGCGCAAGCAACATACCCCTCTATCTAGGAAATAATGTAATTCTAGCATAGTGTCATGATTTAGTATCTTAAATTCAATCAATTATAGATAAAACATATCAATATTTATGATATCAAATAAATATCATTAGATTAATTATGAAATGTATTTTTATAATAAATTATTTTATAGCTGTAAATGTAAATAGTATTCACTAAAAATTTTAGTAAAACATGAATTACTTTTGACAGCACGCGACACGTAGTTGCATTTTTTTTTACGGAGGGAGTACTAGTACACAACTTTTATGATCGATTGATCCATCAGCTGATTGATTGCATTGGTTACTGTATATATGTTTTGCAGGCAGTGAGGCATGCAGATGCAGATGCAGATGCAGATGCAGTGCAAGGGCAGGGCGATGAATTGAAACCCACCCGGCCCGATGAGAATACCCTCCGATCCTCAACGGCCCAACCCAGAAATGCATCCTGAAACAATGCATGCATGACAGATCGATGGAGATGATGGATGGATTATTGGTGCAAGAAATGCCTGCAGCATGCAGAGATGCTGCAGCAATTGAATCAGCAAGCCGACAGACTAGACACAGTCACTATAGCTAATCACTCACACACACACAGGGCAGCAGGACAGGGGAAGCTAGGACAATGTATACATGACGACTTCTCGTATCTCTGCTTGAATATAAGGCCGGATTATTAGCACTAAGTACTGTAACTCAGGAGGTTCCAATGTAACTTGGGAGTAAGTATGCCACAAACCCTACTAGGCTCGGATCCTCCGGTGTCCAGTCGTCCAACCACTAGCTACATTTCATTATATTTGGCCGAATGTAATAGAGACTAATGTCTATATAAGCCAATATCACCACCTACTGGACTCCGGTACAGATGCAGTTATTTTATCTTGTCAACAAAACAATGGTGGGACGGCGTACATACGTGGTACATGATGAATGAATTGATTTGCAAACAATTAGTTAATTGATGCTATTTATTTACATGATGTATTGCAGCCTTGCAGGCAGGTTCCACGTGGAGGGTACATCCATGTCCATGGCCAACACAAGAGAGAGAGGAATAAGGAAAAGAAGCTGAGTTAACTAGCTAGTGAAGTAATAATACATACAGAAACAAACAAACAAAGTCTCACTACTACTCCGATCGATCCATTGCAGCAGGGGTAGGGGTACGGCGCAGGCAGGCATGTTCTCTTGTGTGTCTTTATAAAACAAAACCTAATCAGCATGCAACTACTCTCTGATCTGCCTCTCTAGGTAACCTACCCCGGCCGCTCTCAGTTTAATTAGTTTAATTAAGGGTTTGCATATATACATATGCAGTACTGTTAGTGTTAGCATATATATATAAATAATTCTCTGCTCAGTCACAGTCACAGTCACAGCGCTCCCTCCCTCCCTCCGAATAAAAGCCAAGCGGCATCGACCATCAGCTCATCACCTCCATCTATCCCTTCCTTGCTTGCTGTCCATCGCCTCTAGAGTCTAGACCATGTCCATCTAGCGGTCTAGCCACTAGCTACTCTTGTCTTCTTCCCCAGCTAGCTCTTTTTTCCTCCCTAGCTACTTCGATCCCTGTCTTCATTCCTCTCACCAGTCACGCCATAGGTACTTGCATTGGCCAGCTGCATCTGCTTATCTGCCCTCATGGTCAAGAAGCAACAGCTTGCTGTTGGCGGCCTCACCGGTGTTTTCAGCAGCAGCACAAGGAGTATTCATAAACCGCAGGACACTGCTAGTCCTCCTAGTTCTGCTGCTGCTGCTGCTGCTGGTGAAGTGTTGCCCTGGCATCCGTCCTCTTCCTCCGCATGGCGGCAATGGACATCCTGCGGCATGCACCCAAGAACTCTCTCCTTCCGGCAGCAGCAGCAGCCAGCAGAGCAAGAGGAGGAGGACCCCAAGAATGGGCATGGCCGTCACCGTCAGCAGCAGCAGCAGCGGGCTGCTTATTACAAGACCATGAACTCGGTCGACTTCTCCGGCGATTCGTCCTTCGCTTCCGTCGACAGCTTCGCGTCCACAGCTTCGGAGGAGGCCGAGTCCGACGCGGAGGCTGTCATCCTGCAGGCTCTGCGCTCGGACCGACTCTTGTACGAGCCTGCAGATGATGATATTGAGGACGACGACGCCTCCTGCTGCAGGCTCATCAAGCAGCCGTCGCTCAGCAAGCAGCAGGCCGCCGTGGCCGACAACGTTGGCGACGACAAGCCGCAGCTGGACAACAACAGCATCGTCTTGAGCAGCAGCAAGGCATCAACCTTGGCGTTCGGTGGCGCGACGGCCATGTCTGTGGAGTCGCACAACCCGTACCGCGACTTCAGGGAGTCCATGGAGGCTATGGTGATGAGCCAGCTGGAGCAGGAAGGTGGCGTCAAGGACTGGAGCTGGCTTGAGGAGATGCTGGGCTGGTACCTCAAGGCTAACGCCAAGACCACCCACGGCCTCATCGTCGCCGCCTTTGTCGACCTGCTCCTGGCGCTCACCAACTCGCCTGCTGCTGATGCAGCAGATTATAATTATTCATCGTCGTCTCCGGTGGCCACCCCTCCTGCAAGTACTAGTGCTACCAACTGCTCTGCTTCATCCATTGACGATTGCTCTTGCCGCTCTTCCTCCTCCTCCTTGTAGTCTGTCAGTCGTCTCTCGTCTGCAGCAGTGTACTAGTACCTACTTGGTCATTATAATTTTTTTTTTTTAGAAAAAGTCTGCTCAACTCCCAGCCTACCTATTTCACTCCCTCACCTATAAAACCATATATTCTACCAATCTATCCCTTAAGGACTTGTTCGTTTCTACACCAAACAAGAGACGGAGTTGGAGAGAATTGAGGGGAATTGAGGGGATTTTGACTGGTATGGGATTAAATCCCCCTCAATCCCCTCAAACCCCTTGGTTTTGACTGGTACGCATACAATCGTAAACATGGGTGCTAATGAAGCAATAACAATTAACACAGAAGCCCATATACAACTAAAGTTTGCCTTTGAAATCAAAGCACCCAAATTCAGTCCACAATGATCGTGTTCACTACAATTTTGAATTCTACCACCACGTTTTGTCTGTGATACAGTTAACATGTTCTAAGCAAAACAACCGTCTATAGTGCTACTCCGAGCGACCATTATCTCATAGATCTCGATCGGCCTTGCAAAGCCCACCGTGGGAGCTGGCCCCAGATCCCGTGGATCCTTGTAGAGGCATCCAACCATCCTTACACATGACACCGTCACTGCCATCTTGGGCCACAGATCCGCCGCCGCTGTCATCTCGGGTCACAGATTTGAGAGAGGCTGGATGGAGTGAGGCCGCAGCTCTAAGAGGAATAGGGAGAGGAGATATGAGGGGCTCAGTGAGAATCATCTCCACATGGATTATTTGTGCTCGTCGGAGGGACATCCATGCACAGATCTGTGCTCCATCTCCAGAGTGGGGCATTCCATGCCTTTCACTGTGCCATCGTCATGAATGCGTGCTTAGCCGCAGCCCCTCACTCTCGGCCATTGCCACAACAGGGTGGAGGTGGCATGCTTAGCGGCGGCGGACTCGGCAAGCACAGGAGTGCGGGGGCAAGGCAACCATCCGGTGGCGCGCACAGGGCCGCGACATCCTATTGATCCACATGGGTGGAGCCACGGGCTCGGTAGCAGGCCGACAAGGTGGGCTTGGCAATGTTTTTTTTTTCGGATTTATTGTTCTCGATTAACACAGACCACGGAAGAAAGAGATGGACGTGATGCTGCCCATAGAAATCCATTTGGACCGCCTCTACTGTGGTAGTGTATCCATGTCCATAAATAAAAAGTAATAACGAGAAATTCTTATATAGGCCCTGTTCGCTGGGAGGAATTTGAAGGAATCTGGATGAATCTGTGAGAGAATGAACAGTGTTTTTTATCCGCGCACAATGAAATCCGGCTGGTTTTTCAACCAGCTGAACACGCCCATAGTGACGAAACACACGCACGCACGCACATACGCGCGTAGACACCACATCTCCTACAACTAAAAAGAACAAAACGTGGATACTTTTTCGTGCGACATTTGTTTTGTGTCGTCCGTCTGCCTCCCCTGCGAAACTGCGAGTCCGTCGCTCCCCTCCCTGCCTTCCGTGCGAAACTTCCCCGCCTCCCCATCGAGAGATCCAGGCACCAATCACGCTCGGTCCCAGCAATCCTCTGATCCTCTCTCTGCCCTCGCCCTCGGCCTCGCGGCAATCGCAGGTCTGAAACTACGCCCTTTCGCCGCCGCACGTCGCCGACGCCGCCGTGTCCTGTGACGCGCTGCCTTCGCTCCCCATCCTGACATCCTCCCCGCGCGACCCGTACTCAATAGCGCTCCACAAAAAGCCACGCCGCCGCCGCAAGACCATCCCCGACCTGCAGCCGTCGCCCGCGCCGTAGTCCTCGCCATGCGCGCCTGCACCGTGCCCCCGTGCCATCGTCCTCACTAGATCCCACACTCCGCTGGATCCCACGGGCCGCCGCCGCCGCGCGCGCTGCTCCCCATCCCCGCACCCCGCACCCTGTCACGTCGTCATCCCCGTCGCTCCTCATCAGCATCCTCTATGAACAAGGCAACACCAGGGGTTGTCCCCTCTGCTCGAACAAGGGCGCGGCACTAGATCCATGGCGCGACAGCCATCCGGGCGGTAGGATCCATGGGCCCCCAGGCCATCTCTTCGAGAACGCCGAGGACGTCAACGCGCTTCTCGGGTACGACCGGTTCGTCACGCAGCTCGAGCCGCACAGGTAGCATAACATTGTTCCTGCTCCCATCTGGATCACCACACTATATTCCTGCTTGCGCGTTTGTGGGATCAGGGAAGCTTTGGCTATGGGGTTCTTCCAGTAATTGTAGTGAGATTTGATGTGATTTAGCTAAGATCTGTTGTGGTTGTTCCTGCTGTCATGGAAAATTTACAAGCGGTAGATGGTGATCTGTACTAGCATAGCATGAGTTTCTTTGCTATACAAAACACCCTACACTACAATACAATTGAAACTCGCACACAGTGAAGTTCAGTAAGAATAAGGGGAAAACAGATGTCTAGATCATAGTTACACAAAATTTACTTGAAGCTTTGCACAGGGATGGTCTTTGATATATTGCTCGAGTTTAGAATCATCTCTAAATCTAAAACCATGCAATTCCTGACGTTGCGTTAGACTAACTGGGTAAATTATGTACACTTTCATGTCATCCTCAACTCTAATACTCGGTGGTCTTTCATCCTTCCACACAGGAACGTGGCTGAGGGGCCTAAATTTACCAAGCACTGCAAATTTCAAGGCTCCCAGAGGTCACGTCTGTGTGTTTTATTCTAAAATCATTTTGTTTACAGTTTCTTTGGACATTGATAGTTCTGGACAAAGCATCTAAAGTTTGATCCTGAATATATGTACTAAATTAAGAGTGAATATAAGTAAATTGATAGTTCATAGTCTCTTTTTATTCCGTCATGGTTTTGTACTAAAAGTAAACACATCTCACGTTGGGGGTGGAGGGCACCCGCTGCAGCCGCTCGCGTCGCCGCCGCCACTGCCAGCCCTGTCCAGGAAGAGGGCCTTCGCCGCAATCACCAGGGACGAGATCGCTGAGGACTTCGCCACCATCCACGACAACCGCCCGCCACACCGGCCACCCATACGTATCAGCATATTGCCACGAACAAGGAAGTGCATCTACAAGCACGTGTCCATGCCATTGTTCCTGGTAGGTTCGACCAACTCTCTGCTAGGTTGGAGATTACAGAAATCTTGCTGGTTGGAGATTAGGAAAATCTTGTTTAGTCTTAGGATCATGACACTACTGTGATTGCTCATAAGATGTTTGTGTAAATGCCAAGCATGTCTATCTTGGTTGCAGTACACAGCATGTGTCTTGCAAATGCCATAGCTTTTGCACATCAATTCAATTCCAATAAAGTCCCAATTGTTTAGATTCAATTATCAGGCTCTCAATGTTTACCCATGATGATCAGTGAAGTTTTGTTGTGTTCTTGTTACACAGTTGTCAGATTAGCATCAACTGCTCTTCTTCAGCTACATACAACATATGTTGTTTGCTGCTCTTCTTCAGTTGTAGAAACTTGGTATATGTCTCGTAAAATTCAGTAATGATGTAATAGGTATTTTGCATACATGTTTATCATAGGTCTTTTTCAGCTGCTCTTCTTCCGCTACGTACAACATATGTTGAGGCTAACATAGGTTGTTTGCTGCTCTTCTTCAGTTGTTTGCATACATGTTTATCATGATCTTGATGAAGTCAGTGCTGGGAAACATACTAATGATTTCCTTTTTGCTACAACTGCTTTGGTGAATTGTTATACAAGTTATAATTTATAAATACTTCTTGCAGTAGAAATATATAATGATTTATGCACACTGTGTGGTTTTTAGTTTTAGAGTACTGTTGGCGGTTGCCTTCCTACCGAAGGCTTCGGAAAGCACCTATGGGACTGGATCTGAATGTGAGTTATACTTCCTATTTGCATCATCTACACATTGAGGTTTTTCAATATATGTTTTTATGCTTGGTAGACTGAAGACATCACCTAGCAAATTTATGCTAGCCAGCATTTTGCTGCTATCAATTCTATTTAGCACATTGACAGGTTCAGGTGGGGCATGGCCATGGAAACTACATGGCTTCATCCAGAACTATCTAACCGGGAGCATCCAGCAATATCACTTGAACTCCTAGGCCTAAGGTAATATCCTAAATCTAGATCAGTATCAGCAGGATATGAACATGCCATTCTTATACACTTCAGTAATTTTTTAGACTTCTAATAGTTTCATGGCTTGTGAATAATTTGTAAATGCGTTCTTTACCCTTTCGGTGCCCCATCATGTTTTATTCAGTTTTCATGTGCTCCAGGATGTTACTCTGCTATTAAAGTGGGGGACTATACTTTTATATTGCATTCTTTACCCTCTCCGTTCATGTCGACCCAAAAGACATGTCTTTGCTGAAACCAAGGTTAGTGGTTCCTTTTGGATCAATGTTTTAATGCATCTTGGTGCTTACAATACTACATTTGCAAAGTCTTTAGTTCCTACTGTACATGAATTTGTTGAAAAAAAATAAAAATGAAAAATCAGATGCCTTTGCTCCAAAGAATAATTTGCAGCTTATGGCCTCTGTTTTTTACTAAACTAGGTACTGCTATCCGCCGATTTTTACATGACTTCTCTCCTTCGTTATTGCTTTACTTTCCCATTTCTCTATATGCCTTGTGATGTTTCATCTTATCACTGGAAGAACAAAATGTTCTATAAAATGTAGGGTCCCATTTAGTTGTTATTATTTTTTTGAAACAGTTCTAAAACACACTGTTCTAATTTTTTTTAATTGGTGATATGCACTGACTACGCCTAAAAAAATCACTTTTTCTACAGTTTCAGTGCTCTCCGGCACGTAGGCTGCTACTTTTTTTTATATATAATTTCATTATTTTCATTCTGCTTATAACAACTAGATGTAGAACTGCCCTTTGATCGGTGTGCTGTGTTTTTCATGTTACATTTCATTCGGCAAACAACTACACAGCTGTTTCTGAGAAGAGACTTGGGCCGCAGCTCATTCAGAAGTTGAAAAAGGAAGGTGTTAATCCCAAGCAGTGGAGACTTCAAAATTTTCAGCGCATGTTATGCCCACAGGTATGGAGCATTTGTTCTTTACCACCTTGTTCTGCTGCTTCCTGTTTAGTGTCTTTTTCATGAATTATATCTAGCTTTACAACCAAGCGGTCTAATTGATTTAAGACATGAATGATAAGAAATTGCTCTCAAGAAGTGACATCTCTAAATCATCCATTCAAATTGACTTGATTCAAGATAACATTGCAACTCACACGCAATACTGCTATATCATTTCTTTTTAGTGATCCATTGCATTTCGGATCTTTGAGCTATCTAGCGACAAATAACAAACTATAACTTACATCGGCCCTCACGGTAGGTTGTCTGCTGTTGCTTCTCACACTGGACAAGACTGGAAGTTCATTGGGGAGCCTGCTTCGACACATCATGAAGACATTCGGCCAGGAGAGGATAGAGATTTAGATTTTGTTTGTTTCATAAGCTTTTCTGAAATAGATCTACATGTCCTCTGCTTGGTGGGGTTGCAGGTGAGGACGCACGCAATCCGGACGACGCATGAGAACATTAACATGACCATCAAGGCTGCTGACAGCATCCTCTCCCAATTCGACCTTGCCCGCCGTGTGCGTTCGTTGTTCCTCTGTCAATCAAGATGATAGACGTTTAGCCGAAAATCAGAGTGAATCGGATAAAATTTTTGTGTGGCATGGTGTGGATCTGAGGGCGTTTGAATGAATGTGCAAAAAGGTCTGGTACTTGCGATGATTTATTGCTGAATTATCAAATATTTTGGTAGATTTAAAGGATGGAGTTAATTGATACAAAATGAGTATTCTCAGATTGAAGGATATAACTCCTCTTTAAGGCTTATTTGTTTAGGGGAATCACCATTTATGATATTAGATTGAGTTACCATAATTATAGCGTTTCTTTTGAATGGGATGCAGTTTTGTAAAAAAAAATCATCTCTGAAAGTGTTAAATTGATGGCTACCTGAACTCATTGCGTTGAAAATATAGTAATCTTGCAAGTTATTGCTGTTAGCTTTTGGTCAGGCTCAAGTTCAAATGTTACGATTTTGCACCTCCACTTAGCTAGTGTGATTTTTGGCTTCGTGCTTTAGGCTTCGTTGTATGGCTAAACGATAAATTAAAATAATATCTCTCTCCCTCTCCCTCCCTAACTCCCTCCCCTTTCTCTCCCTCCCTCTCTCTCTCTCCCAGAACCTTATATCTCATTCTATGCTTTAATACCACGATATGCATTGCCTTTTGCTTGTTTAATTTGCATTATTATGAAATATCCTGTAGTGTTAGCACGAAAAAGTCTATACAGTAGAGTTTGTGAGCTTGTGACGTCGCGCTCTCCGTGACTGTGTTAATTTCATGAACTTTGGTTTTTAAATTAAATATCACTTTAACATCGGTATTTAATTTCACAGTATTGTTATCTTATCATGCGATCCATATGTTTTTAGTATAAAAGTTTAGCTGTCCCGTAGTAATGCACGGGTACGCTACCTTAGTTATATATTATTGCTGCAACTAGCAATAATCTCTGTTCTTCTATTGTCATAAAAAGAATATAAAATCCAGTCCGAAACATATATATTTATCTAGCTAGCTAGCTAATTAATGATGAGATTATTGCCACCAGCAGGTAGCTAGGTGCTGGATCGATCAGAATATCAGATATAACAACAATGCATGCATGCAACGAACTAAGAGGAACGAGAGGGAGAGGGTCAGAATCAGAAGAAGGTGACCCTGCATTCCGTCTGTTTGAACTCCGGCGGGCGTTGGCCGTGGGCAGCATCCCGTCGCTGGAGCCTGAGCGGGCAATCGATCTTTGTCTTGGGCCCCAGCACCCTGAGCACCCAGACCTTGAGCTTCATGTGCGAGCTGATCTTGACGTCCACGGAGAAGATGGCCCCCGCGGCGGCCTCCCTCCGGAAGCCTGCCGCCGCGATGCCGCCGACGATGGGGCTCTCGCCGGCGAAGGAGAGGTCGAGCGGGCTCGTCACGCCGGTGTCCTGGAAGAAGTCGAGCGGCGCGGTGTGGCCGAACTGCTGGCCCTCGTAGTGCGCCTGCGCGACGACGCCGTGGTAGTGGAGGGCGATGTGCTTGTTGGGGTTGCGGACCTGCAGGCCCAGGGAGAGGTTGTAGTGGAGGATCCACGTCTGCGGGGTGAGCGTGAAGTCGGAGAGGTCGGCGGAGACGGCGGAGACGCGGATGATGTGGGGCCGGAACAGCAGGTAGAGGACCAGCGCGACGAGGCCGGCGACGACGAAGATGCAGGTGAGCACGCTGAAGAGGCAGCTGAGCACGCCGCAGAAGAGGCACCGGCACGGGCAGCACAGCACCGACGACACGGTGCTCGTCTTGCTGCCCATCGATCTCTTCTTCGATGTTATTGTGGAATCGATAGAATCGGATCCGATCCACCTGCTGCAGCAAGTGATCGATCGAGACGAGGCAGGGAGACTGATGAGAGAGCGAGCGTGCAAGCGAATCATGCAGTGGAGAAGACAGATGCAGCATGCATGGGCGGCTGGCCATGGAAGTCGCAGCAGGGAGTGAGTGTGCGATCATGAATGAATTGCTGCTGTCCTCGCCTTCTTCCAACTTCTAATCCAACCATGGTCCCGTGCATGCGCCTCCTTAGCTCTCATGTTCTTGACCCAGGCCCACCTAACCTTGGTTGGGCCTGGCCTTTGGGCCTCAAGGCAGATAAATGACTAAGATTGGACCCCCTAAATGTATTACGTTCAAAAAAAAGAAAGATACCCTCAAAAGAGAAACATAGTTCTCTTTATTATCTTTATTTTAATAATATCATATATAGTTGTGCAATACATAAAAAATAGGTATAGCCACATTTCATATTAAGTTTTATTCTAAAGACACTGGTATGGGCACACTGCTTTTACTTTTTGCAATTTTGGCACCTGCTTGACAATGGTATGGGCACGGGGGCGTGCTATGCACCGACCTGGGTGGCACCGAGTCGTGCGCCGACCAGGATGGCCATTGGGCCTCGCCCCGCCCCACGCGGCCCACTGCAGACCACCAACGCACCGCGCCGCTACCGCCGCCCACGACCTTCTTCCTCCTCGCGACGCGCCAGTGCCACCTCGCCGCCCACCGCCACGGCCGCGCTAGGGTTCGCCGGAGCTCCGTTGCCGTGGCCGCGGCAGTCTCCTCCTTCCCCTCCCCCTACTCCCGCCACCGCCATGGCCATGCTCACCGACTAGCACTGCCACGACGCCCCCCGCCCCGACCTAGCCCAGTCGCCTCCACTGCCGCCAGGGCCCCTAACCGCTCGGCCACCATCCCCACCGCCTGGCCTGCCTGCCTCCCCAAGCCCCTTCCTTCTAAGCCTGCCGGAGATGGAGACGGGAGTGATCCGCCGAAGTTGGAGACGAGGGAGGGAGAGAGCTGCCAAAGGGAGGAAGAGCTGCCGACGACCGCATTGATGGGCTTCTAGGCCGTGCTGTGCTGATTCACACGCGGAGGGAGGAAGAGAAATAATGCCATTCGCATGGGAGAGGGAGAGTGAAGGGGTGGTCGGTGGGTGGCTTCCTACCACCTGGTCAGACCGCAAGATTTCTGTATGGGCACATTGGTTTTACCATATGTCCCCCACAGGTTATCCTAGAAACTAAGTTCGGCCATTTTGAATAGTAAATGTCTCTAAACCTTTGTTGGAATCAAAATCCTCAATAAATATCTCCACCAGAAGGAGCCTGTAACATCCCGGCCTATGGTTTAACAGGATTAATAGGATACTCATACCAATAAGTTGCAACTTCTTTTCTGGAAACCCATCTGCAAATAACTCCAAGGTTAAGCGTGCTTGGCCTAGAGCGATGGGTGACCGACCGGGAAGTCCTTCCCGAAAGCGCATGATGAGTGAGGACAAAGTCGCGAGAAAAAAACTGTATTGATGCATGAGGCGATCTATATCCTAGAGAAGCCGCCAGATGTAAGCGGGCCGGCCTCGGAGAGCGGGGCGTTCTGAGAATGGTATCGAGCCGACTCTCGCGGTTTCACGAGGCGTGTGTGCCGTGAATTCTTGTGAGCATGGTGCGCGCATGGTGGTGTGGATCCGGCGTGGTCACACAGCATGTCACATGCGCTGGCTCTGGACACACGGACGTGGCCAAGAGAGGACGCTCCTGGCTTTGGATTGATCGACGAGGACGTCGATCTCTTAAGGGGGTGAGGATGTAACATCCCGGCCTATGGCTTAACAGGATTAATAGGATACTCATACCAATAAGTTGCAACTTCTTTTCTGGAAGCCCATCTGCAAATAACTCCAAGGTTAAGCGTGCTTGGCCTAGAGCGATGGGTGACCGACCGGGAAGTCCTTCCCGGGTGCGCACGAGTGAGGACAAAGTGCGCAGAAAAAACCTGTATTGGTCTGTGAGGGCAGTCTATATCCTAGAGAAGCTGCCAGATGTAAGCGGGCCCGGCCTCGGAGAGGCGGGACGTTACAGAGCCCTTCAACACATGGTTCAACGGTATGTCAGAACGATAATATCTTTCGCAACCAGATTTACCCAAGGGATATTCTCCCTATTAAAAAACTTGTGCCACTGCTTTAAGTTAAGGGCTTAATTTTGGGTTCTCGGTTTTAGGATTCCTAGGCGTCCTTCTTTCTTAAGTAGAACCATTTCACACTGCTTTGGGCAGCTTCTTGGAATTTATATCACCTACTCTCCAAAAGCAATGTTTCCTAAACTTATCAATACGTTCAATGACTGTCTTTTGCAACCGAAAAGGGAACATGTGGAAAGTAGAGTAGGAAACACCGTGAACACTGAATTTGTGATTTCCACACGCCCTGCTTGAGTGCTTGGATAGGAATAAGGAAGTGCTCGCAGGCTAGCTAGCCTTCTTTCACAACGAGATATTAGGGCAGTCCCAAGGGAAGAAACTGATGCGGTTTTCATAGCACAATAAATCATCTATAGAAACTACCTTCCATAGTGGAGGTGTCTTTGTGTAATAATTATTTTCTCTTTCTCTCTCCCAACTCTATCTTCTTCCAATGGGAGTGTGGCACGAGCCCCATGGAAACTGGTTGTTTCTCCCCAATGGCGATTTCATGGTTTCTTGGTGCATTGGGTCAAGAGAAGACCTGATTTCTTCATGAGGAAACCATTTCTATGATTTTTGCTCTCTTTCTTCATTAATTACGTTGCCATGTCAGTATTTTGCCTACGTGACAAGTCATTTAATGAGGATAGAAGCCATCATCGATGCATCGTTGGGACTGCCCTTAGAGGCCAAAAATCTTCTACTCGTGGTTTAGCAAGACCCAGAGTGAGGAAAAGCTACCTGTTGAGCATCCAAAAGTCCTAGCCAATCCAAAAGTCCTAGCCAAATGATTAAGTCTGTCAGCATCAATATTTATGGGAACCATTAAGCTCTGTGACGTCAAGCTGTCGGAGCTCTACTTCAGGATCTGAACCCACAATTTAATTTATCTAAATATATATTATACATAAAATTATTTGGACAAATAAAGCATCGATGGATGCAGTAAAGCCTAAGCAACTAACGCCAACATATATAATGCATGCAACAACTGATAGATAGGTCGATGATGGATTGGATGACGGAGCGCCACTAGTGACTCTAGTTTGGTGCTCCATCCATCTACAGAATACCTGTGGGGTTAGTGTTGTAGCCACTTTCTCCATCTTGGAAGAAACAGGTTGGACTCGACCTTGAAATCAGCTAGGTAGATTGCCTGTGTAGAGCGATGTTGTAACACCTTCGATGTTACACTGTAAATCATTTACTAAAACATGTCATGAGCATCATGTTATGTGTTAATGCTTGTAATAAAGGTGTAAATCAATTCCCGTAACTCAAAACGATCGTCAGAAATGGGAAACGAAAGTTGATTTGATAGTTATGTTATATCACTTAGGGTTTAAAACCAATTTTTATCGAACAAAAATAATATAGAACATATATGCAACACTTAAATAAAGTTGAAAGTACAAACTTTGTAGATGACAATGAAATACTTGGTGTTGATAAATAATGTTGCTAGCTTATATTTCTAAGGGTTTGGAAATAAAACTAGAAATAGAAAGTCATTCAACACAGAAGATTTCATGAACTTTTGGTGAGCTAGACTTTGCAATGTTTGGTAATTTTTGCACGACAATCTGGTTAAGAAGTAGGGTAGTGTTACGGATTGTTTTAGTAGCCTTATGTACCGTCTAATGTATGGTGAAGATGGTTTGGGTGTTTGGCCAACCGATTAGTTGATTTGGACCTTTAAAAAACATGCATGGCACGTCCTTGGTCTGTTTCCTCACGTAGGCGCGGTCATCAGCGCTTCTGTCTTAACGTGTCATTGTAGCTGGCCTGCCATCTTGCTTGCCTGCTTGGGGCATGTTGTATTAACACCACAGGCGCACAAATTGCCCCACCTCATCGCCATGCTGCTTTGCCGTCGCCGTAGTCCCGTCGCATGCTACGCGCTGCCACTGGCGCCGCTACCGGTGCCACTAGGGCCTCCCGTGTTCGCTCTGCTGCGCTGCACTGCTCTGCGAGCCACGGGCGCCGCTGCCGCTGTCATCACATCACCGTGCTGCGTCGCTGGCCGCCTTGGTACTGCACGCATAGGGTCACGACCCCCCCATGTGCGCCTACTCCGCCTTCAGCCGTGTCCCACCGAGGCGGCACAGCGCCTCTCTACACCGTGCCGCTGCCACTACCGCCTTGCTCAGCCCACACGTGTAGCCGTCCAACATCTCGTCCTATCTCTCTCTATTGAATGGCTACGCGATGCAACGAGTCATCCTTCCTCCCACCCCCCTCACATGCCATTACTGCCATCAGGGACGGCGGGCCAACATCCCCTCACACGGACGGCTTCGCAATTCGCGTGCCTCGGTTCACTGGGGTCCGATTCATAGCACCTATAGCGACTCCATAAAGCTATCTAGTTGTGTCACCCTTACCGAGCCTCAGCCGAGCACTGTCAACCGCCAATTTGGTGTTTTACTCACCGTCGATCATCTCCGCCGCCGCGCCTGACTTCGCTGGGGGTAAACCGGTATCCTTCGGTTGAGATTCAATTAGTTGCTCCTTCGAGCCTTCCTTGTCCCCCTCGTTTCCATGCCCGCTTGTCCCCTTCGCGCCAGGTTCACCGGAGGCACTACCGGTGATGTGCTGACGTGGAGGTGCCACGCTCGGGACGCCGCCGCATCGCTCGGTCGCACGCAGTTAGCGCTGCTCAGGCCACCTCCGACCTAACCTTCACCGCAGCCGCAACTAGTGTAAGATAGTGATGCTATAACGCTAGCTAGTTCACCCCACGGTGGCTTAGGGTGGCCGGCATGGTCGCGCCACTGTCACGCATGGC